CTATGAGAAGCCCAGATAACCTCAAAATTGATTTTCTAACTATTCTTAAACTGTAATTAACTACAATTTGAGCTTTTAACAGATAAAATAATTAAAATTGTATCTATCTTCAGTATAGACAAATATATTTATTTATGTATTTTGCAGCACTAAGAGCAGGTACTAGAATTAATTCCCAACCAATAAGGATAATCTCAGTGCTGGGACAGGATTTCAATGAAATCAAAAATAATAGGTTCAAGTGGAAACCCAGAGAGAGGTTAAATTATGAAATTAACTGTTCCAACCAATAAACCAAAATAAATGTCAATGATAAAAAAAATCTTTTTTTATAAAAGCAAGACTGAAAAGCTGGGATGACAGACCATCATGCGAAACAAACACAAGTTTTTCGTAGTGTATTTTAACCAAAACATTATGAGCCTTCTTAATAATAATAATAATAGTAAAGTTGGAAGGGACCTTGAGGTCATCTAGTCCAACCCCTTGCTCAGGCAGGAAACCCTATACCATTTCGGACAAATGGCTATCCAGTCTTTTCTTAAAAACCTCCAGTGTTGGAGCATTCACCACTTTTGGAGGCAGGTTGTTCCACTGGTTAATTGTTCTAACTGTCAGGAAGTTTCTCCTTAGTTCTAGGTTGCTTCTCTCCTTGCTAAGTTTCCACCCATTGTTTCTTGTCCTGCCTTCAGGCGCCTTGGAAAATAGCTTGACACCTTCTTCTTTGTGGCAGCCCCTGAGATATTGGAACACTGCTATCATGTCATCCCTCGTCCTTCTCTTCATTAAACTAGACATACCCAATTCCAGCAACCGTTTCTTATGTGCTTTAGCCTCCAGTCCCCTAATCATCTTTGTTGCTCTTCTCTGTACTCTTTCTAGAGTCTCAACATCTTTTTTAAGTCACAGTGACCAAAACTGGATGCAGTATTCCAAGTGTAGCCTTACCAAGGCATTGTAAAGTGGTATTAAAACTTCACGTGATCTTGACTCTGTTAATGCAGCCTAGCACTGTGTTGGCCTTAATTTTCCTTATTTTGGCAAACGGGCATAGGTTATTAAAATGTTTTTCTGTTATTCTTGTACATATAAGACAGCAGTAATGGGCTGATACCAGTTACACACTTAAATGATTAAATAATGACGCTGTTTTCAGAGAGATTATCAGGCTTTCCTTGATCTAATTGTGAAACTATTAAGGGGAAAAGGGATAGAGGTACATTACAACACTGGTTATAATGAGCAACCTTTGGGAAATTGCCTTGAGATTATAATTAGCTGAAATAAAGAAGTTTACTAATGAAGGAAGTACTGGTATTAACAACAGGCATAAGCATAGGGCTGGCCGAGGTCAACATGGAACATAACGTAAGGATTTAAAGAATTGAACGTATAGCAAAAAATGCTCAGAGGACTGTAAAGAAATTGAGACCTGGTCCTTATACAATTTGCAACACCAATTTGTTTTTGGTATAATGCATACAAAACATATAAAATAAATATTGATTTATAAAGGTCTGTCTGCATAATACATTTTATTGATAATCATTATAATTCAGAGTAATGAAAGAAGGAAAATATATACAAGAAACAGGGAAATCCATTCCCTTTCAAGATTACTAAAATGTTTAATTACAAAGAGCAAAGGTTTTTTTCAGCATCTAATGGCAGGATTACAAATTGGTTATTTTTATTTAAATCTGTTAAATCTATCCAGCTAACCTAATATTATCTGCTGCTTGTTTAGTTTTTATAAACCCTATTTGATCATTCTTAATAATGGATGGTAACATTTGCTGTAAACTATTTGTTAACACTGCAGTTAAAATCTTTGTGTCAACTTAATCAATGAACCTGGCTGATAGCAGACAGGATATAATCTTTACCTGATTTTGATATTATTGCAATATAAGTCTGATTAAATGCCTCTGATAATATTCCCCTATCATCTCATCGTACAATTGACAGTTTGGGCACCAAAAGATCTATAAATATTTGCTATCACTTTATAGGAAAACCATCCACTTGCTACTTTTAAAATTATTTGTTTAATAGCTGCCTCCGATAGTGAGACAAAAGTTGTTTTGTGTATCATTGAAGTGCAGTAAGTATATATTACTTAAAAAGTCCCCTATATCATCATCTAATGTATTATCTGGTTTACCATATAGTTCTGAGTAAAAATTTTAAACACTGACAATTTATAACTCTTGATGTTTTATGTATTTCATATCTTTCAGCTCTAAGAACTGGAATTATTGCCCTTTCTTTTGATTTAAACAATTCTTACTCTGTATTTCTCTATATATGGGCATCTCTATATATGGATGGATGGTCATCTAATCATCTACATACAAAAATATTTCAATTAAATGATTTTCCTTGTTATTTTTAATCTTAATTTTCTATGATACATAATCAATCATTCTGTTTTGATTGTAAGGTGTATATGTTTCCCATTCAAAAATCTGGGCACTTCATATCTCTGAATTCAAATCAAAATACTGAAAAATCACCAACTGGACACATTTTCATTTCATTTCACATACAATAAAAATAGATTTAGAATTTACAATTTATCTTATACAGAAAAACACAGTCTAGGACAGCATTTTTTTGGAGATATAAGGATAATGCTTCTTTAAAACAAGTGTTTTTTTACAATGTCCTATATTTAATACATTTTGGGAGAAAATAGCAAAAGATATAATTGTACCTATGGGCTAAAAGTTAAAATTTTCAGAACATAATAATCCTTGAATTAAATAACTAATACATGGTACAACTGGACAACGTAAATGGATTCTTCATGCTCTTATTACACAGTAGCTGAAAGATTCATAATGCAACTTTGGAAATATAAATGTATAGCCCCATTTAATCAATGGATTAAATATTTGATTGCACTTGCTACTTACGAGTGGATTTGTGATGACTCTCCCTGATTTTTCCCCAGGTACCTCTCCAGATGTCAGCTTGGAAAAGGATGAACCAGTTCCGGGCATGTCTGAAAGGAACCCAATGGCTCCAAGTACCTATCTGAGAGGGATTTAGCTGAAACATAGCTGCAGCAGGACAGCCCTTAGGCTTCAGATGGGGAAAGCATGCAGCTGCAGCAGATCAGCGATGAGGAAGAGGAACTGCCTTCTGCACCTGATCCAAGAACATGTAGGGCAGAAAGAAGCTAAGGTCAGCCCGATTACTTGTGAGGAGGCAGCCTTGCCCTTCTTGATAGGCTGCACCAGAAGCTGGCTATTTAGCACAGTAGACAGATGGAAGCGATGCTGGGAACGTATTCATTTCCTAGCTGTGTGTTTCCTGCCTTGCTCTGGATTGACACTGTGCCTTGACTTTGGATCATGCCTTCTGAACTCTGGACTTTTCTTGCCTCATGAATCCTCTTGAGTTGTGGATTTAATTTTGCCTGGTGGGTTTATCTTGTTTGGGAAATTTTCAAGTGTCTTGTGGACTCATTGGCCATTGCTCTGCGGACTAGCATTGGTCTGCTTTTGGCTAGACTTAATTGGGACAGTTCTGGGTTTTTGGTGAAGGGAATTGCTGGGGAATATTAATAAACCCACTAAACCACCATTATGTGTTTGTGAGAAAGTAAGCGGGACAGCACAGGATTATATATAGATGTAAACTTTGTATGGATAAATACAATGAAATATGGGACTTATGTATAAAAAATAATATAGGTTAAAAATTGCAGCTACATAAGTATATTAGAAATGAACACGCCGAGATGTGTATGTATAATGCTTACATTAGATAATTATTTATAGAATTGTAATTATTGTAACATTATATGATACCTTATATTATCTTTTTCTGTTGTATTTTTTCACTCATTTTTTTAAGAACTGTATTTTTAATTACAGGCAGTCCTTGACTTACAACCAATTGCTTAGTAACTGTTTGAAGTTACAATCTATTTAAAAAAGATGATTTATGACATGGATCTGATGTAGCAATGATTGTTTCCCCTTCCAATGATCACATGACACTTCAGGGCTTGGCAACATGGCTGCATTTATGGCTGTTTGAAGTTTCCACAGTCACATAGCCCCATTTTACTTTCATTTTTTCACGAAACTGCTTAGCAACCATGGCTTTCACTTAACAACAATCTATTTCTCTAATGTAACAAATTAAACATTAAAATTTATCTTAAAAAATATTTTCCATGCTCTTTTTCTATAATCTGCAGAACCAAATAAATTTCCACATAGGTAATACCGTTAATATTAAAACCTTATGCAAAACATTGGAGGATTTACACATTGATTCTTTCTATATTTTTTGGGTCATGATTCCATTACTTCATCATATTCTCTACACAGATTGTATGAATATATTCATTGTTTGCTTATATTTCTATAGTAGCCTGTATTAATTTTAAAAAAGCTTTCTATGTAATTCAGGAACTATTTTATCTTTTGCTATGCTATGCTATGCATGATGGATCTAACTCACAAGCTGTTAAGCAGATCCCTTATAACAGGGTTTTGCAGGATTTTCACTACATTATAAAATGAAGACCTCTACTGACTAATACCCTGAAAACTGACTTTTTAATTTTATTTTTTGTATCCTGTTTTTATGAATGCTATAACAGAATACTGTAGCAGAGAAATCCTTTCGGTTGGGTCCTTATTCCACTCTTAATAGTAGGAAGTAACAAATTTTCAGTCATAGTCAACAGAAAAGATAGAACACTATTCCATTTAAACATAATGCTTTTCAAGTATTAAGTATTAACATCTTATTACATTTTTATTACTTCAAAAAGGATGCACTTATCAACTAAAAATATGACAACCCATTCAGCAGAAGATGGCACACCACAAAAACACTATTCATATGCAAATGAACTTGTCACTTCACTTTAATACATACCATATGACACCAAGACAGCAATTTGCACATTTTGTCTTTTTTGTGGAACATGAAGATTAGTATGACAGCCTACAAATATACATAGAACAGCTACTCACCTGTTTTTGGGCTCTACAAATGGAGAGGATCCATCTGTATCAGGATCCAGAATATGGTCTATTTCATTTTGTGTTTTTTCATATATCTTTTTTCTATCTGCCAAATCCTTGTCAATTTGTGGGAAATCATAATAGCCTTTCCGCTTGGCTTTCAGTCGCAATTTGTTGCGATAGTGTTCTATATCAGACTTCTGTTTCAAGGCTTTGTTAATCTGACAATAAAATTTAAAAGGGAAAATATACAAATTAATAAAATTAGACTATGAGTTTTTAAGCTGACTAATTCTCTGAAACAACAAACACAACTGTAGTTCATTCAGCCACACTATTGAGAACTTTTTAACAATTATTTTTAGGGCTTTCAGATAAAGTTTGATGCTCCACATAAACGTAGAGATCACTCAATCCTAATGAAGGTTGTAATGTCAAGCATAATCTCCATGTCTTATGCAACTGAATATGATATCTTTCTGCAAATCTGAATATATGTTTATTATTTAGGTACTTCCTAAATAAGTACCTAAATAAGTACCAGGACATTTGGATGCTCTTCTAGTTTATTCAATTGCTTTTAAAAAAACTACAAAGTTGGTAACAGGTTTTAAACAGTGATTAACTAATTAGGCCAACAGGTCTCAAATGGTGATGAACTAGTTAGGCCTACAATTACCAGGTAAAGAGAATAACACTAATGAACCTTCTAACTCACAGGTGTCAAACTCGATCCCATACATGACATATTGTCACATATTGCAATTTTTTTACCTTTGCGGAGCAGGGGTGGGCGTGATCTGCACGTGACACATCCAGCCCGCAGGCTGCCAGTTTGACACTCCTGTTCACTACTTTCAAAAAACATGGATTCCTCTAAACCGGTGTTTCTCAACCTTGACAATTTTAAAGCATGTGGACTTCAACTCCCAGAATTCCACAGCCAGCAATGCTGGCGTGGAATTCTGGGAGTTGAAGTCCACATGCCTTAAAATTGTCAAGGTTGAGAAACACTGCTCTAAACAATTGTCTGAACATTTGAAAAAAAAAAATATTCTTAAAAACCCAGGAGGAAGATCTATTAAAAATCTCTAAATGCTCCCAAATGGCAATTTCAGTTATGAGAACATTATTAAGAAATGGAAGTTACATGCAGAACAGAACCCAGATCACAGCAGATGAAAGTTTTAGCTGGAGAAGCTATCTATAGATCCACTGCGCAGCATTGCATACATATAGGAAAGTTGTCAGAATTCAACCAGTTTCACCACAAAAATATACTAAAGCATGACAAGAAAACCTTGATAAACATGGAACACTTGTTTATTTTATTTTATTTTAATGCAATTTATATAGCCTATCTAGTCAACTTGGGATGGCCCATTTGGGCTCTTAAAGGCTTACTTGGAAACAAAAACTGCCCCTTCATCTTCAATCACATAATATTTTGTTGAGTGAAACATTTGAAAAGAGTACTCTGACCAATATTTTCAAACTACTAAAGAGAATTACAGAATTTTCTTTAATAAGATTTATTAAGGGAAAAGGGAAAGTGATAGAAAAATTCCAGCAAATTCTTATGAATTATTTTCAATTTAAAATCAATGTATCTCAGTAAATAATACGGTGATGGTGATAAGAATCTTTTTTTCAGGATTCCCATGACCTTACACACATCAAAAAAGATGTAGCTATCCTCACAGATAATAGGAACATTTGCAGATTACTGTTCACATAAGTCACCTGAATCTTTAGAAGCTAATGTCCCATAATCAAAAGCTTGGATAGTTCAGCAAGACAAATCTGAAACATAGCCACAAATCAACCGCAAAATTTACAAGAAAGAAGGATAAATGTTTGGAATGGCATCCAAAGTCCTCTGAATTGAATAATAATTTAAATTTGTAGTCAAATCCAAATATACAGGAGAATCAAGAATATTGCTGAGCTTATAAGGATTCTGCAAGAAAAAGTGGAGAAAAAAATTTCAAAAGAAAAAATTGATTTTGAATTACATCATTTTTACTTGTAACTCTGTCAAAACTCAGTATCAGTAAATAAGACTAGTGTCTATGGCTATGCCCTGTAACAATATGGGTACTCAGTGGAATGCACTGTAATATAACTAGAGTCTAAACTATGCAATGTAGAACTAAATAACTATATGTTACTGGGCAGCTTTTTGTGTAAACTTCAGGCTGTAAAGTTACTGATTAAAGATTGTCAAATCAGCTTATCGCATCAGAGGTGAAAAGAACAAATTTCAACCCAGTCTTGAAAGATTGTTTAAAGAAGAATCTGGTTACATATTCACATTTCAAGGCATAGTTGAAGGGAATATAATCTTTATGGATGATAGTTTAGGAGAAGAATAGATGCAATGTAAATACAACCTCAACACTCTCCTTGGAACGTCCTCTTAAGCAAAACATCTTTTTTTTATATAGATATTTTATTGATTTTTAACTATAACAATCTTCAGTGCCTGGTGTACAACGTGTTGTCTTGGTTTATATTTTAACAAGAAAAAACAAAAGAACAGTAATAATTAATTAACAGTCAATAATTATTAAATTTGATAATTCCATAATTAATATATTAATTAATAATACATTTCTTTGATCTTCCCTTCTCCCATTTGTATTTTCCTTCTTCAACCTTAGCCAAAATATAATTCTTAATATTTTCAATATATAATTAGGTATAGGTATTTTTTATATTTATACAAATAATAATAATCTCTCTATATAACATTTTTTCATCTTATATTATTCTCATAATCTTCATCTCGTTAGTTCAGCATACATCCTATTTTTATAATTTTTGTTCGCTTAGGTTCCCTTATATTCAACCCAATTCTTATCAGTCATAATTTCTTCATTTTAGTCATCTCACTGTCTAAATTTTCCCATTTATGTCATGCATTATAAAAATACTATACTTTTTATCTGTCTTATAGTATCTAGATATAACATTCTTTTTAATCAGTTTATATTTTACTTATATATTAATAAAAGTTACATCAACCGACTATTTTAACATTTAATATATTATAAAACATACTATATTACTTAAATCTCATTATCCTTCTTGTTATAAGGCCCCTTTATGTTTGAAATTCTGTTCTTTTAGTCATATTCAAACAAATGTTTATTCACGTAATAGTCCATCTGGTAGGGCGAGTCAAATCTCTTGTATCTGTCTCTTATCTTCTTCTTTTGTCAAGTAATTTTCCAAGTTGATATAATCTGCTTACCCTGTATTTTTACAAATGTTGTTGGGAATACAAAACATGAAGTAAGTAAGATAAATTCTTTCTGTCCCCCAAACTTTAATAGTTCTCCTAATAATTCCATTTTTCTTGTTGTATCAGAATCTTGTAGATTTTTTCCTGTTTGTGTCAAACTGTAATTCTTTTCCTTTGTTATTTTATCAGTTTGCTCATACTCTTCTAGTTTGTAATCTGCTGTCTGATTTGTTTGTTCCTTTATTGTTATTTCCTGGGTATTTTTTAATTGTAGATTTAGATAGGAAATCTTCAAAGTTGTTTCAAATTTCATCGTGGTTTGAATCTATTGTCATTTGTATTTGTCCTATTATTACACATATTTCCTCCGGGAAAGTATTTATCTTGCCTGGAAGTATTGCTTCTGGAGTCTCTTGTTTTTCCAGGCTAAGTCCTTCAGGAGAAAATATTGAATGCGGCATCCTGTCATTTTTTGATAAGTATGTGATATCCATGTTGTCTCCCCCCTTCAAATAATCTTCCATCAATGTTTTAATTCAAAAGTCAATTTATCAGTCAGTCAAAATTACAGATTCAGTACATTAAGCCACTTTAAATCCTTCCTGCAAATTCTCCTCTAAAAGATTAGCCAAAAAGCCAAAGTTTTTTTTCCATAAACAGTTCTTAGGTTTAAGCAGCAATTCAGGTGTTTTTTTTCTTTCAAACACTTTTTAATCTTTTTGCTGGCTCTTCCTTTGTTCCCAGCTGTCTTCAAGATTATTTGCAATTCGAAGGAATAATTTTTTCGTTGTTTCTGGGCATTCTGCCAACTTTTGAATCCTTATTGTTAGTGTTCTATTCTCTGATTCTCCACTAGATGTCAGCAGTTATTACTTTTTTCAGTTTTTCTTTCCATCAAAAAATTATTTTTGTTATACATTTTTATAATTCCATCAGAAATTTTTAGGATATAATCTTGACAGTTTTTTAGTTCCTAGATTTGTCCAGACTATCTCTTTGTCTATCTCTTTCAACTTTTTATGTTAAGTCCCCTCCCTTCACTTCTGGACGTTTTCTTGCCTTGGGGATCTTTTCAAGGATTTAAATAGTAGATAGAAGAAAGAAGATCAGTACTCTCACCAATTCCAAGCACGCTGTTCACCAATGTTTAAGTTCGTGCTTTGGGACTTCAGCTGCAAGCAGCTTGGGATAGACACTGATCTCACGCTAGCCTTTCTTCTGTCGGGTTCGGAAGGCTTTCCCCAGATCAAACCAAGTGATTGTCATTGCTTCATGATCGATGGGGCGCCCCTCTTTCACAGTCACCTCTCCGGGGCAACTACGGACCCAACTTCTTCCCAAGCAGGAAGAAACTAGCCGTGGGGAGCTGAGGTCCTCTCTCGTGGCCATGCACTGCAGATGCAAAAACCAGAAGCCCAAAACATCTTGACATATGTACATAACCTGCAGTAAGCTTCATTACTCCTCTTATCCTCTTGTTTTCTTTTACCTTCCACACAGGAGAATATGTTCCCAATTATATGCAGTGATACATTCTGGCTTTCTTTCATAATTTAGAATGTGACATCTATGGAAATTTTCATAATATAATCTTGAGTCAGAATTTCATATTCATTATTAAAAAGCTCTCTAGACAAAAGCTACATTGTTGATAGAGCAGCTGTATGAGAATAAAACTATAGATGTTTGTCATCTTTCCATTTCATCATCTAAAAACTGTTTTCCTTCTAAAACCTGATCTTCTTTGCTAACAATCAAATGTTTTACTGTGTGTAAAGATAAGCAAAGAAAAATAATGCTACTTCAGAGAAAAAGAGATTAGATTACGGAAAAAAATAGACAACTGGATACTTTCCTTTTAACACACAATTTATCTTTAAATTTGCTCAGTCAGAGACTTCTTAATCATCTTGTTTAACATTTGTTGGATGGACAAGAGAGATCCTAACTGTTTTTGAATAACAGGAGAATGTGCAATTGTTCTGAGCTAATAGTGTATTACAAAATGGTATCTACTTTCCCAGGCTCTGAGAAGCCTCTAACATTGTTGTACTTGAAATACAGATGGAGAAGAAGAAAAAAAGAATTTCTCCCCTAAGAATGGTGCATACTTATCATTTCAAAAAGATAATAGAGGAAAACATATTTGGTAGAAAGGACAGTCTGAAGTTTAATTTCTTTGGTCTGCCTCTCAGAATTGTTGCCAGAATCACTGGACGATTCCACACAATTTTTTGCCTTTGCTGCCAAGTCACCAATTCGCTCAGTAGCCACATTATCCAGCATTCCCTCTTCATATCACTTCTTTAACAGATCTACCAAACTTCAACATATAACAGAAAATAGAGTGTGAGATACATTCTTACCTCCCCATTAAGGATAGCTGTATCTTGGGTCCTGTCTGTTCCTGGGTGTGCAAGAGGCAAAGCTACAGGCTTTATTGCAATCAATTGTACAGATCCAGAAGATGTGTCAAAGGGATCAATGGCAGATTTGGTCACATTATCAAACAGCATGCTTCCATCCTCTTCATCACTTAAAGGCACTAAAATAAGTTAAAATTTAGTCAGTATATTATTTTGGCATTTTGCATATGGGGCAGTGCAGGAAAAAGTAAAAGTGAACTATGCTAGATACACTAAACTGGAAAGCTAATTCTTCTAACTAGAATCACCACAGAAATGAAAACTATAGATTTTACAGTAAGATCATCTGGTCTACAGTATGCTGATGATACCCAATTCTATATTTCCATTCTTGGTCACCCAAGTGATGCTGCGGGTGCAGTGCCTACAGATTATGAGGGCCTGGACTGGGGACAATAGGCTTTGACTGAATGGCTTTGGGTACTGTATATGGGGATCTGAGTTCCAGGACTTTGTCATCATAGACTCTGGATAGGATGGCACTGCCCCAGACAGATCTGATTTGCAATCTGGAGATTTCTCCTGGATTTCTGCTTGAGGAGCAGGTAGCAACCACGGGTAGGAGAGCCTTTGCACAACTTTGTGTTATGTTCCAATTCCAGTCTTTCCTGGATCAGGAGTCCTCATGCTCAGTTGTTCAGGTCTTAATTATCTCATGGTTGGACTATTGTAATGTGCTCTACATGGGCTACACTTGAAGAGCATTTGGAAGCTACAGCTGGTGCAAAGCGTGGCACCATAGGCAGTTCTTGGGGGCCCAAGAATGGCCCATGTAACATCCCTGCTCCGTAAGCTGCATAGTTGCTGGTCTGCTTCCAGATGAAATTCAAGATGTTGGTAATCCCCTTCAAAGCCCTTCATGGCACAGCTGCAGGCCACTTGAAGGACCATCCCATCCAACGGGGATTGGCCCATCTGACTCATGCCAATAGAGGCTCCATCTTATGGCTCCAATTATTCTGACTGGCAGGGTCCAGGAGAAAGACCTTCTCTGCTGTTGCATCAGCTCATTAGAATTTCTTGCTCCTAGCTGTGAAGTTTGCCCAACCCTCACATCCTTTCCTAAGGGCCTATAGCTCTGCCAGTTGGCTTGGAGTCCCAAGGGGGAAACAGCATAGTGGAGGTGGTTGATTGAGTAACAGCAGATCCCTTCTCCAAAGCTCAAGTAAGCATTTATTAGAAAATAGGATAGTTTACCTTATTTATGTGTTAATGTATATAGATAGATTTTTATGACTGTAATCCACCCAGAATTACCTTGTGGTAAGACGGATAGCCCATAAATTTAATAAATGTGTGTGTGTGTGTGTGTGTGTGTGTGTGTGTGTGTGTGTGTGTGTGTATATATATATATATATATATATATATATATAGTCCAAATAATAATGCAGCACGAAGCTGAAAACACCAGCCTGAAGATGACGAATGGGACTTCGTCGAAACGTCGCCAAGACACTTCCAATTTTACGCGGGAGAAAACCCGAACAACCAAAGACCTACATACAAACACCCGCGAAAACCTCAGAAAACAAATATATATATATATAAACACATAACATTTTATACACACATAAACATATATACACATACAAGCATGCATACATACACAGTGTGTTTATAAAATGACAATTCATTTTAAAATAAAGGACAATGAAACATACTACCATATTTTGTCAGATTGATGTATCAGAAATTACAAGAACAATCTGTAATAATTATAAGAATGTCAATTGTCAAATGAAACCATGAAGTATTACTTTTCATGTTATCAGCAATAGTTGTTTTTCAATGTGGCTGGGGAGTGTCTCACCCAAATTTGTTCATGGATTTTTAAACCATAGCAAGACTTAGATTATTTACTTCTTTATTAAATTAATCTCTCATTTTTGTTAGTAAATGCACACTCCCTTTATTAGTTTACATCATGCTCCCCCTTCCTACTTTCCTAATAATAACAATCCTGTGATATGGGTTGGGCTGAGAGTGTGCGACTACCTTCCATGCTGAAAATTACAATTCATGGTTTCCCATTGCCAGTCCAGCATCTTTATCACCACATCAAACATTTCAATAACATGGAAGTAGTTTGTCGCTGCCTTTTTACAGGATGGTTTTCTAATTTTTTACTCTGAAATTACCTGGTGGGTTTTTATATATAAAATAAACCAGTTCAGAACACACACACACATTCTGAAATCTAAATATATAGATTTTATAGCTGCACATTCTCAAATACTTGTTCTGCAAGTGTGGCTTTTCTGGTTCATTTTAAAGTTGTATCAAATAAATTACCAGGAGAAGAATATTCTCCTGCAGTTTTCCATCTGCCTCAGATGAGCTAAGGTATAGATTTCTGCAAAATGGATGCAGGGAAAGGAGCTAAATAAGTCCATTATTTTATGCTTAGTGCTTAAATAAGGATTCACAGCTTCCGTGCCAGAAGGCAACATTTTTTTCATTTTCTGTTAAGAAGCTGACCTGGAGCCAAAATGTACGACATCTAATAGCTTTATAATCAGAACAGCTAGAACAGCAGCAGCAATTTTTTTTATAAATGTGCCACGGTTATAATTTGCTAATAAGAGAGCTTCCTGAAAGTAGCATCATCCTTTCAGTTCTGAAATTAGGGTAAATGTAAATACTAATACAATGTGTTAATAAAATGTCAAAAACTCATTATTTTCTACCTTAAAGCCATGTAAGCAAAATAACAGCATTATAAACATCAGAGGTGCTATATGCAGAAATCAAGATGGATTGGAATATAGCAAATGAATTATTTCTCATTTTTTATTTTATTTGTATTGGAAGTTCTTGATGATGTGATAAGTGAGCGTAATCAGACTCTCTGGTGCAGTTTTTGTGAATTTACTGGGAAAGACATAGGTTTGTGTCCATCAAAATGACATCTTCAGTTTCCCATCATATATAAGACTTGATTTGATAATTCATGCTCCATTGAGATGGGACATCTCAGAATTCATTAGTAATTTGAATTATATTTATAACTGGTTTTGAGAAGAAATCATTAATATCTACAGAATGTGGTCTCCTGCAGATTGTGGAATTCACTTGCAAAGGATTATGGCAAATTTTCCTTCACGTTTAAAGCAACAGCTGTTCAATCAAGCTGTGCGCTGTGATAAATATAAAGCTGAAGAAAGATCAGCATAGTCTTTATCTAAAGCTACTGTTTTACCCTTTGCTTGTAGACACCTCTACAACATCCTTTATATTCATTATATCCAACTTCTCTTTCCAAAGCTCAGGTAAGCATTTATTAGAAAATAGGATAGTTACTATAGAAACTACAGTTCTTTTTTTAAAAAAAAGATTCTGTATATTTGTGCTGACACTCTTATGCTGCCAAGATTAATGATGTTTACAGGGAAGGAGTATTAAGTGGGACTGCACAAAATTGCACGGAGACCAGCTCATCCCACCTCCAACTTACAGGACAAACATTTGGAGTCCAAGGTACACATGCTTATTTGAAGATAAAGGATGCTAAGTTGGAAAGGCAAGAAAACCCTCATGCAATTTTTTTTTTCCTTAGGGTTTGAAAATGCATGTTATGAACACAAATCAAGAACTAAAGTTTCTTCTTCAGGAAAGCTGTCTCTGTCCTAATATGTGATAATGCATCCAGCGATACAAACAGTAAATAATACAGGTAGTCCTTGAAGTACTGACTACTCATTTCTCGAAGTTCCAGCTGTTGCATTCCCCCAAGGTCACATGATTGTGATTTGTGTGCCAGGCAACCATCTCACATTTATGACAGTTGCAGTGTCCCAGGATCGCATCATCACTATTTCGTGACCTTCCCTGAAAGCTTCCCACAAGCAAAATCTATGGGAAAACCAGTAGGGAAGATCACATATTGCTCCATAAAGTCCCCACCCCACCCCGACAGCCTCCTTATATGCTTGCTGACCTGTGGCCTGTTTCCCCTGATCTCCCTGCACTCATGAGGTATTGAAGACTTTGACCAATGTGTACATCTAAATACATTCATAAAATATATAGAATATGCATAAAGTGGCAATTAAAAGGAGTTAAAGAGAAAGAAAGAGTGAAAGAGTGAAAGAGAAAGAAATGAAGGGGGTGAGAGAAAACTTTAAAGGTTTCAAGGACATGCCATTTTATTGGACAATATTTGTTGTCTTACTCTAGTAGTGAGGCAGGTTTGGGCTACATTTTAGATAGTAGTGGTTTTTAATGATCTGCTAACAGATAGGAGATGTACCATTGGTTATCTCTCTATCTCTCTGTCCCTGGGAATTCCTTTATGGAATCTAGGGGCTGAATTACTACCTCATGTAGGAGCAAAGTTGTTTGCAGAAGGGATTTTTTTGGTATTTACCATGAATAAAAATTGAAGTGTATATGCACTGAATCTAGCCAGAACCAAGGTTCTGTGATGTCTATTGTTTATTAAGAATAGACAATAATCAGCTGTTTTCATAGTAAAAGACAGTCTCCAAGGACTTATGTAGCTTTACTTATGTGGTTAATTTAACTTGCATTTGATGGAGTGGGTATTAAATCACAAAAGTTCATACCATTCACCTTTAAGCCATCACGAAATTCTATGCAAGTAACAAAACTTATATAAATAAATACCGTAACTGGACATCATATAAAAAACTATGTCCATAATCCTGTATTTTTTACAGTTTGTTTAAAATATTGATATTCTAAAATAAAATACTTATCTAAGAAATTATACTACTAAATAATTATACTATAGGGATTGGTTCAGTCCAATTCTATATATCACAACAAATCGGAGATATGACACCTTGTGACATCCCCAATTTTAGGTAAGTTCTTTTATTTATAAGTCTCACTAAATTCTTCTCAGTGCAACACTGCGGGAGCCTATTGCCCATCCATTTTTAAATAAGATAAAAATGACACACAATGAAGTCTGAATATAAGATATCAAATGAAGTATCCTATTCATACATTAGCTCATCTGTCTATTATACGAACTTGACAAGTCTTAGAAGCTTTGAAGACTACCATAATTAAACTCAGGAAAATGGGTATTATAGGATATCACACGAAAATGGAATACCATTAAAAATACTTTGGTAGGGAAATGATTACTCAA